GACTGAATTCAAACAATCAAAAATACAAGAAATACTCACAAAACAACTTTCAATAAACTGTGTAGAAACAAGCAAATGGAAGCAATCAATGAACGACTTCTAAGAAGACAAACATATTTCAACATCAACAAGAAACAAATGATTAGAAACTTACTTGATGACCCATGGAGATGCATCACATTGGACAAGCTAATCACAAACACACCAGAAGAAGAAATAATTACAGACCCAGAAAAAATTAAAGAAGCAGTTAGTACACACTACCAAAAATGGATTAGCAAACAAAACACCAAAGCCATCGAATTTACAGCATAGAAGGAGGAATACAAACAAATACAACAAGTTAATGAGGACTGGTATATCAGTACTACCATACCCATAACAATAGAAGAACTCCAAGAGTTTCTCAAAAACTGCTCCACAAAATCTGAACCAGGACCAACAGGAATATCCTACATTGTACTCAAAAAACTAACCAAAGAATCAATTACTTATATCACAGACCTCTTCAACAACATTCTACAAATAGGAAAGGTGCCCAATGAATAGAAAACAGACAGCATATACCCAATACCTAAGCCTAAAGCATAGGAGAACAACATTAATATAACAAGACCAATCACCCTTCTAGAAACAACACGAAAGATTTTTACAAAATTGCTTAACAACCGATTTGCCAAAGTACTTACCAACCACCAAATCCTTTCCAAACACAACTAGGCAGCCCTTCCAGGATGCAGTATACAAGAACCCATCCACATACTCAGAGCTATCCAGGATGATGCAAAACAAAACTCTAAACAAGCCTGGATTCTAAGCCTGGACATGGCAAAAGTCTTTCACTTAATCAGTATTCAAAGACTTGAACTAGCACTACAATGAATCAAATACTCAAGTATCATTATTCAAATCATTACCAACATCTGTGACAATAGGCAAAATCATGTTCTCACACTCTTCAGACCATTATTACAATACACGGTAGAAGATGAAATAGATCAAGGAGATACTATTTCACCTCTACTCTGGAGAATCTTCTATAACCCATTCATCACTCTCATTTCAAGAACAAGAAAAGGATACACTCTCATAACAAAAAAATGGAGAGAATTCATATCTCCACCAACAACAGAAATACAAATCATCTCCTGCCTAGCATTTATGGACAATACAACCCTAGTAGCAAATAGTCAAAAGAGACTACAAAAAATTAGTGATATCTGCTCAGATTTCTTCACAACAAATAACATTTACATCCATACATCCAAGTCAAATCTAATAATTCTCAACTCTACACATAGCCTAGACAACAAGATCACAATCCATGACCAACTAATTACAATGCTACTATCAAACCAAGCAGCCAGAATACTTGGAATTTATCTCGAAGGCAAAGGATCAAAATCCTTCCAACAACAACTCATCAAAGAAAAAACATTGAAGTATGTTAACACAATCAAATGGAAAGCAACAACAGACAAATAAATAAAATATATCCACAATCAGGTCTGGGTTTCATCAATCACATATTTCCTTTCTGACTTAATCCTCACAGAACCAAACTGTAACAAAATCATGAGTATACTTAATCCCATATACAAACATAAACCTTATTTGGCCAAATCGGCACCAAATGCAATGCTATACAATCCCCTAGAATATGTCTTTTTCATCTTTGAGACGAACAACTACTACTTCACGCAAACAACTGGCACAAAAGAATTAACAGACAAGATATTATAAGGAACATTACAAACATGTGCCTGCAAGAATTACAAAACAAATGGTGATCAACCAATCCCATAACAAGCACATATCTTACAAATACTTTCTTACTCCAAGAACATGATTTCACACACAACCTCATCTTCTTATTTAGACAACACGGATACATAGGAATTGCACTAAATCTCAAAACCATACTGAAAACAGACACAACCATCGAAGATATAACAGATCCAACATGGTACAACAAACACAGAAAACAACTTGCAGCTAACAAAATCCTATTTTTGAACCAGATCACAAATCATACTGGATCTAGACTCGCAGCATAGGTAGAAGTAGTGACAGCAAACAAGAAACTGAACAGAAAAACACCTAAGTGGTATAAAGAACTCCAACAGAACCAAAAGATTCACAGACTAATTGAAAGCAGAGGTTCAAAAGAGACCACAAAAGTTAATCACAAATTAGCAATAGAAATAACAAACCAACATATCAAATGGACTGAAGCCCAAGACAGCAATATAAACATTATTGGCAGAAAATGAACTATATTTAACAACATAGTTAAACTACAACACTATATCAGAACCAACAAGTCATACTCTCCTCTCTAGGAATGCAAAGGATGTTCACTAAAGATATCAAAGAAACAAGGAGAATGCATCTTTTTCAAAAAACAAAACAGTCTAATTTGCATACCAGTTTACAAAAGCAAAACTAGCACAAGAGACACACTCTTCAAAAAACTCTGCCAACAAAGCAGAATATCTCCCGACAGCTTATACAACATCCTAAAAAACAAATTTTTATACTCACACCTTCTCCCCCACTATCCATCACTAATGACTAAATAATAATTCACAAAACAATTATCAAAAAATATCTCGAAATAACAGAACAAGCATATGAGGATCTAGCAACAATTTGTCACAAAATTGGAAGACTTAAAGAAATCACAGCCTACACAGACGATTCCTTAGATTCAAACCAAAACATGGGATTTGGATGGCACATAATCCAAGATTCGGAAATAAGTTTCCAAGAGAGAATAAACAAATTTCTATCTTCTACAAGAGCAGAACTTGCAGCAATCTTTATGCTTCTGACAACAGTCCTAGCTAATAGCAAAATAACTATCTATAGCAATAGCCAAGCAGCTCTAGAAGCGATCAACAAGGCACAATCTAATCCATTCAACTTAAGAATTCTGAGAAACAACAACATTATAAATTTGATAATTCACATCATAAAAACCCAAAAACTCAATATTTCTTGGAAAAAGATCAAAGCATACAGTAACGATAAACATAACAACAAAGCAGACTTCTTGGCAAAAGAAGCCACACTTACAGGAAAACCATTAGAAACAATATATCGCAATGAACATATGAATGGAATGGGCACACCTTAGACAATATGATCACAACTTCAATTAAAAACTTAATCAGAACAAAACATATCCTAAATTGGAGAAGCTTGAATCGCAATCTCAACACAACAGACTTCTTCTCCACATTAAACAACATAGAATGGAAAGCATCCCTCATCAATAGACAACCATCCAAACTCACAACAGGAATAACAAATCAAAATGACCACATAAGTAGATCATTCAGAGCAAGACTCTGGAACTTAGAACTCCCTACCAAGGACAAACTTTACAAAAGAGCAGCAAACACATATACTGACAACAGATGCCTTAACTGCTAACAAGTTGAAACAAATACACATTGTATGCTATGTGAGGGAAACGGAACCAACATATATGAAGAACTACAATAAATTATAAATGAAGACATGAGCAGCAAAACTGGCAAGCCTATCAAACACAATCTCAACAGAGATCTCAAAAAACAAGCAAGCCTCTGGATCCAAGAAGTCAAAAACTATATAGCAAGAGGTGCCCTAACAATAGAGATAATCAAAACCATTAAAAAATATATACCGACAGAACATCAAAAGGAAACTATAAGAAACATCACCAACAGATTCCTCAATATACTCCAAGAAAGATGGAACCACAGGTACAATGGATTCGCAAAATGGGAAAAGAAACACAACATCACTCCGGGTACAAGAAGCTATGGAAAGCAGCAAACAAAGAAAAAAATGTAAACAAAAACATTATCCCAGGTATCAACACCATAATAAAATTCTCTAGTTATCACTGGACAACTGGAAGACAATCTATTCATTCAAAATTAAATTTTTATGGGACAGGTAGAGCCTTGGCAAATTAGTCAAGTATATACCAATACTTGGCAATAAGCCGCACGGTAGAATTTCCCTTAGTGAGTTTAATTAGATAGACTGAGTGATAAATTTGTATAAAATAAATTTGTACATACTTACCAATAAATATCTAATAAACAAGGTGTAAGCCACCCATTTTAAAAAAAAAAGTTTAATCATATTATTCCAACACAAGAAATTGGTTACATGTGTTCCATTAAAGTTAAAATGAATGCTGAAATATATGTCAAAATTTTTGATAAATATTTTTTGAAGATTATAGAATAGTATCATTTAGACAAAAAAAACTATCTTAAACATGATAGTAATTCAAAGCATACAGCAAAATGTACTATTAAATGACTTGAAGATGAAAAAAATCAGAGTTTTAAATTGACCTCTATACACTTCCAATCTTAATTTCATGGAACATCTATGAAATTATTTAAAAAGAAAGCTTTTTGATTATAAAGATGTACCTAATGATATAAATGAACTCTGGAAAAGAATAGAAAATAAATGAAATAAAATTCCTTTAGAAAAGTGTAGAGGATTTAATAAGTTGCGTAACATTATTCACCTGATACTAAACATGGGTAATTAATTTATACTCCATATGGGTAAATATTTTTTTATTTATGATATCAATTCTTTCCAAGTTAGTGTCATGCAAATTAGATACCAAGCACATTCGAAATTGCTATATTCGCTATCTAATAAGGTTTACATTGTTTCCTTTAGTAACGCTTTGATAGATTTTATTAATAATTTTTTAAATTACAAAGCATATGATTTATTGAAATCCTTATAATATCGGCGAAAGATGCTAAGGATGAGTTATTATGTTTCGCTTACAAAGTAAACCGAATTATTTTAAATAAAGAGATTTGCAATAGCAACCAATAACTTTAAACAAATAACCCATTATGAATTTCGTTCCTTAAAATGATAGTGCATATTTAATTGTTACAATTTCTTTTTTTCTTCCAAGTTCTATAATTACTTTTTTAATGCACAATAAGTTATTTTTTTCCGATGCTCTATAAGTTACTTTTTTCCTTTGTGAGAAGTTTTATAGCTTCAGGATGATCACCAATAGCAGCCAATCTTATGTATTTCATTCCAGTTGCCTTATATATTGGACATAATAACTTTCCATTTAGGTACATATCACCCAAAATATATTGAGCTGCTACGTTTCCAGCATCTGCAGCCTTCGTAAGGTATTCGGTAAACATCGTTCTGTCAAACTTAACTCCCGGCGTACTGAGTAATGAAAGGGCATAACGAAACTGAGCATCAGGAATCTCGTCGTCAGCTGCTTCTTTTAATAGTTGATGTGCCCTAGTGAGGTCTCTAATTCCAGAAGGATATCCTTCACGCAAGTAATGTCCCAACCAATATTTCGCGGTTGTATTTCCTAGGTTAGAATTATCATTGAAACATTTCCAAGCAGTAGTTCGTTCTCCTCTTCTATGCGCCTTGATTCCTTCTTCGAGAGGCATGATTAATGGAAAGCTAAAGTCCCCAATTCCTTCTTCGAGAGGCATAATTAGTGGAAAGCTAAAATCCCCAATTTTAGGAAACTCGTTCTCGATTAGATTTTTTGATTTGGGCCCTTCTAAATCTATTGTCCCATCAGGTAGTAGTTGGAAGGCAGAGCCTAATTTCGCACACTCCGAGGACAGCTTAGACAATTTTAGGAATATTTCTAAAAGAGAGGCTCTAAGAGATAAATCTTGTTGCCAAGCTTAATGCGTAGAAAAGAGGGTAGTTAGATTTTTGAAAGTCTTTGTATTTCACATATCGGATAATATAAAGTATAATAATACCTGAAATTATAATTTTTTCGAATTTTTTCTGGATCCTTTGGACATCCGGCGAACTATTACACCAAGAAATCCTTTCTCGACCACCATTTAAAACGTGCTCCTTAATCTTATGTACATCAATATATTTATACGGGTATCTTTCAAACGCAAGTTCCCAAAGAAGCATGCCAAAGCTAATTAAAAAAACAGCATTAGAATAAGATAGGTTAATTGCTTAAAGAACGTTAAAAACCTTAATTACCTATATATTTCGCATTGAAATGAATAACGCACTGTTTTCTGAAATGTCTCGGCCAATTTCTCTGGAGCCATCCAACGAACTATTTCCACTAAACCTTTTACTTCCGTTGTTTTCGATTTATCGTGACGAGAATATTTAAAATTCGCTATTTTTGCTTCGAGTCGTGAAGTCATCTATTTTGATAGCTATTAATAACGATGTCTAATATTATGAAACACACATGCATCTCTTACTAGAATATTGGCGCATCTAATATCATGATGAAGGATTTCACAAGTATGCAAGAACACGAGACCACGACAGATGTCAAGTGCTATTTGAACCTTTTGGCACCATCCAATATCATATTTTTCATATAATTCTTTAAGTGTACCAAGCTCTGCCCATTCAAAGACCATAACCTGGTAGTCGGATATTCTTGAAAGACCAAAAAATTTAATAATATTAGGAGAACCTTTTAATTTTCCTAATATAGCAAGTTCTCTCTGAAGGTTTTGACTTTCTGGAGTGTTATCCCCTATAATCTCCACGTGTTTACAAGCAACATCCATTAAATCATACATTTTCTTAACAGTCTGACCTCGTCTGTCGGTTTCCTTTCTAATAAGAGGTTCTTTTAACTTATTTGGTTCTATATGATTCACTTTCAGATTCTTGGCAACGAAATTTTGTTTCTTTTTATTAGTTTCCAGATTAGTTATTTTTTGTTTTATACTTAAAACTTCTTCAAGAATGACGTTAATATTATTATTAGCATCAATAACACCATTACCAATAGTTTCCATAAACTAAAGAAATAATTTCTAATTAACTTAAACTTGTAAAAAGTGGTTGATTAAATACCAATAAAACCACCCACCTTTGACATATTCTTAAGGTCACAGTCGAGACGTTCTGCATCAATTATACTTTGCTCTTGGCTAACGATAGTCGTGGAAAAATGTAAGTCATTCATGGTAGCTTCGAATTCACCGATTAACAAATTAAACTTTTTTCTAGCAGAATTGGCGGTTGTAAACCTTTTAAACCCAGTAAGGGTAGAAACATCATGAATGTAATTTTTTATTCTAGTCATTACATCTACAAAACGTATGAAAGTTTTGTAGTAAACTTCGCTACGAAAATTCTGCCCATTGTAGCCTTTCTTTCTCTCTAAAGTTTTGATTGCCACATCAGCAGCATTAACACGATCCATTAGAGAGCTACAGATATTTTTATTATACTTGGCACATTCGTAAATTTCAGTTGTTTCAGCAATTATAATGGTCAGGGATGTGATTAGGGGTAAGAAAGGTTGAACTACATTACCAACAACATCTGAGTACCCTTGGTGGAAGCAAATGTATCTTTTAAATTACCAGCATTCTGAGTTATCCGAATCATTTTAACTGAAAGTTGATTCTACGTTACATAAATATGAACAATAGAAAATCCATAAATTAAATATACTTGCCATCTATAATAATTTCTAAGTGAATATTATAACCCGGATTAATTAAAACCCCTTTAACATGTAGTTACTCAACAAGTATCAATGAAAATATGCTTACAGTCGTTATCGTTGTTAAAAGAATGTAGCTTAAATAAAATATATTTGATATAGACTCACTCAACAAATATTAATGAAAATATGCTTACCGCCTGTAATCGCAATTAAAATAAATAACATAAATCAATTAAATACAATTTTAATTAATGAATTTATGCTTGCCTTCTGTAATTGAAGTTAAGAAATATAACTCAAATCAATTAAAGCAACACTATATGAATTTATTCAACAAATATTAATGAAAATATGCTTACGGTCTGTAATTGTAGTTAAAGTAAAGAATATAATATAGATCAACTAAAATACCTTTGACATTATTTACTTAACAAATATTAATAAAAGATGCTTACTCCCTAAAATAAAGAATGTAACCCAGATCAATTAAAACGTTTATAATAATCACTCAACAACTAATGAATGCTACCTAAAATCGATTTAACTATTTTTTCTTTAAAAACCAAATAAGTAAAAAAAGATTGTTAATAAAAAGATTAGAGTCTTTACTTTCATTGATACATGTAAAAAATTTTTCAAACTTGTAGAATTAATTGATTCATAATTATTTGAAATATCCGAATCTCCTATTATATATAAATTATATAGCTTATCATCCTCAGAAACTTCACTCTTATTGGCATTTGCTTTATATACTGGTTCCAAATTAATTTCTTCAAACCATTTTAAAATAACTTCAATTGTCGGACGTTTCTCCGGATTATCCTGCCATGCGCTAAAATAAATTTTCATATAATCTATCGGTGTGCCGTCAACTGGTGTTTCCCTTTTTCCTTTAATAATGTCCATTACGCTAATTTTTTTATTTGGAACTTTCCCACTCGATATCTCCCAGAAAAGCTGTCCCAAGCTGTATATATCCGAAGGCTCATTTCTATTGTAAGTCTCATTATCTAAGAAACGTGGATCACAATAAGGTTTCGGTGTGCATCCAGAAACGCATGTTCCAACTTCCAGAGATTTAGACAATCCAAAGTCCGAAATCATTAATTTATTATCATTTATTAAGACATTTTTAGAATGCTAGATATTAAATTTTATAATTAGGAAATTATATGATTAAAGAAATTCTACAATATTCACTTACTAAATCCCGGTGAACAATATTTGCTTCGTGTATACAATACAAACCACTTGCAATTTCTTTTGCCATTTCTATTTTTCTTTGCCATCAAAGCTCTGAAAAACTATTTTTTTCATGTAGACTGTTCAAATAATCGCGAAGATTTCCTCCATTAGCATATTGGAATACCAATACATAAGTATTTATCTTTGGATCTAACAAAATGAAATATAAAAATGTTAAAATTTAAAAACCATATATTTATTTTACTCGTTATTACCCCGACTGATTCCCAAGAATCTTATAACGTTATCGCTATGATCAACAGCACTAATATTTCTTAGCTGTGTACAAATAAATTTAAATTGCGTTAATAATGCCCTAATAGAATATTTTTGATCTTTATAAAATACCATTACCTCGCTTACAAATAATTTAAAAAACTTTTTTTTATTCGTAATAACATTTGTATTTAGGCTTTTTAGAACCACTGTTATTCTTGCACTCTTTAAGTATGCCCTTTCTACACTACCAAAAGTCCCTCCTGCAATATATTGAAATTGGTCGAAATATTTATAATCAAAAAATTTAAAATATTGCTTTTCAACTGCCAGACCAAGCCATTCTTTATCTTCTTCATTCAACGACATTACTGTATATTCTATCTATACTGTATCATGTACTGTACATCTATACTTTAAATAAATTGCATTGACCAATCGTAATTTGATCGTTGAAAACAGTACAGATCAACTCTCGATAATTGCAATGTTATACAAAATTTCTATAATTGTTATGATCGTTAGGTCGTACAGTATACCGTTTTGACAATCAAATTATGATTGGCTAGTGTAATTTATTTAATGTATACAGGTACATGATGATGTATACTTAGATACAATATAATGTCGTCGAATGATAAAGAATGGCTCAGTGTTGCAGTTGAAAGTCGATATGTTAAATCTTTTGATTATATAATTTTTGACCAATATATTGCGAGTGGGACATTTGGTAGTGTAGAAAGGGCTTACTTAGAGAATAAAGGAAGAGAAGTGGTCCTAAAAAGATTATTACGAACGAAAAAAATTTTTATAAATTATTTGTAAGCGAGGTAATAATATTTTATAAAGATGATTAAAAAAAATTCTATTGAACTTTATTAACGCAACTTTAATTTATTTATACAGTTAAAAAATATTAGTGCGGTTGATCATAGCGAAAACGTCTTAAGGTTCCTGGGAATTAGTCAGGGTAATAACCAAATAAAAATAAATATGATGGTTTTCAAATTTTTAATTTTTTTATATTTCGTACTATTAGACCCAGAGACAAAAGCTTACGTATTAGTATTTCAATATGCCAATGGAGGAAATCTTCGCGATTATTTAGAAGATCTACGTGAAAGTTGCCGTTTTTCAGAGCTTGGATGGCAAAGAAAAATAGAAATGGCAAAAGAAATTGCAAGTGGCCTGTACTGTATACACAAAGCAGATATTGTTCACCGAGATTTAGTAAGTAAATATTGAGATTTTCCTTAATCATATAATTTTTTAATAATAAAATTCCATACCTAGAATTCTAGAAATGTCTTAATAAATAATAATAAATTGATGATTTCGGGCTTTGGATTGTCTAAATCTCTGGAAGTTGGAACATGCGTTTATGGATACGCACCGAAATCCTATTGTGACCCACACTTTTTAAATGATGAGACTTACAAACGAGATAACCCTCCAGATATATACAGTTTGGGTCAGCTTTTCTGGGAGATATTGAGTGGAGAAATTCCAAATAAAAAAATTAGCGAAATGGACATTATTAAAGGAAAAAGGGAAACACCGGTTGATGGCACACCGATAGATTATATGAATATTTATTTTAGCGAATGGCAGGATAATCCGGAGAAACGTCCAACAATTGAAGTTATTTTAAAATGGTTTGAAGGGATTAATTTGGAACCAGTATATAAAACAAATGCCAATACAAGTAAAATTTCTGTGAATTATACTTTAGATATATTGGAAGATTCAAGTATTTTAATTAATTATGGATCGGCTAGCTTTACAGGTTTGAAAACGTTTTTATATAATGCGGAAATTAAATATTTTACAATATGGGAAAAGCAAAAGATCGAATCTTTTTATTAACGGTTAATAATTTTTTACTTATTTTCATTTTAAAGGAAGAATGATTAGATCGGCCTTAGGTGATATTAATTAGTTTGTTGAATAATTATTATAAACATTTTTATTAATCTAGTTACATTCTTTACGTTAGGGAGTATGAATAATTTTATTAAATATATTTGTACTAATGATATTTTAATTAACCCGAGGCATATTCATTACTTTGACATGATTATAGACGGTAAGCATATTCTAGTCAATATTTTGTGAGTAGATTTATATCAAAAGCATTTGTTTAATTTAAGCTTAATATTTACTTTAACGACTATTACAGAATGTAAGCATATTTTTATTAATATTTGCTTAGTAAATTTATAAAAATACTCTTAATAGATTCAACTACATTATTTAAAACGACGCAGACGGTAGGCGTATTTTATCAATATCGTATTTTTTGATAAACTGTTATTCTGAAGGTGTCATTTACTTTACAGATTGTATGCATATTTTTATTAATACAATATTTCTTGAGTAAATTCATATCAAATGTGTTATTAATTTACATTTAATAACGATTACAGATGGTAACGTGTTTTGTTGATATTTTGCAATGAATTCACATTAATGAAATTTATTTATCTGAGTTATATTATTTAATAACGGTTATAGCTGGTACGCATATTTACTATATTTTGAAATAATTTATAACATATTAAGATACTTCTTTACCTGTGTATTTCTTTAATTTAGAAACAGATACATATGGTATACACATTCATTAAGTAGTTAAGGAAATTTATATATAATATGTTTTTATTTACTTTAATGCAATTACAGATCGTAAGCAATATTTTCATTAATGTTAAGTTGGGCAATTCATATTAAGGAGTTTTAATTAATCTGAGTCATATTCTTACTTTAGCAATGATTATAGACGGAAAGTATATTTTCATTAATATTTATTAAGTAAATTTATATCAAGGCGTTTAAGTGAACCGAGTTATAATCTTAACAATGATTATAGACGGTAGGTAATCCTTAATTAACATTTTTTTATAAATTACATTAAAGGTGTTTTTAATTGATGAGTTATATTCTTTAACAACTATTACAGGAACAACGATTACAATCGGCAAGCATATTTTCATAAATATTTAATAAGTAGATTATATCTAAGGCGTTTTAATTGATCTGAGTTATATTATTTACTTTAACTACGATTACAGACTGTAAGCATATATTTGTTAATATTTGTCGAGTAGATTCATGTCATGGTTTTATAATTGATCTAGATTATATTCTTTTAGGGAGTAAGCACATTTCATTAGAATTTATTAATTAAATGTAATATAATGTATTTTTATTGGTCTTAACAGCATTCTTTGCTATTAGAGCGTAAGTATGTTTTCATTAATATACGTTAGGTCATACCAAGGGTGTTTAATTGATCAGAATATATTCTTTAACAACGAATACAGAAGGTAATCACATTTTCGTTATTATTATTAAGTAAACTTATACCAAAGGTGTTTTAAGTTTTTTTCTTTCTTTTAGGGGGTATGCATAATTTTATTAATATTTTGTTGTTTAAATTGGTAACACGGTTGTTTTAATTTCGAATTATTTTTTATTAGGAGGTAAATTTATTTTTTTGAGCAAATTTTATCAAAGATGTCTTCATTGATCTGAGTCATACTCCTTATTTAACATGATTGCAGACGGTAGGTATATCTTCATCAATATCTTTGAGTAAATTAAAGTCAAAGGTGTTTTGTTTGATTTGAGTTGTATTAAAAACTATTACAGAATGTAAGCATACTATTGTTATTAATTGTTGAGTAAATTTCTATCAAATGCGTTTTAATTAATTCTTTACTTTAGGGGGTAAGCATTTTTCATTAATATTTATCAAATTAATAGTAATATGTTTTAATTTATCTGAGTTATGTTTTTTTATTAGAGCGTGTGTATATTTTTTATTAAAATTTATCGATTAATATACGTATTATGATAATAGTTGATCTGAATTGGATTATTTAAAAACGATTTCAGACGGTAAGCATATTTTTACCAGGACGACATTTTTGAGCAAATTTATATCTAGGGCATTTTAATTGATTCGAATTACATTAATTACCTTACAGATTGTATGCATAGTTTTATTAATACAGTATTTCTTTTGAGTTAATTTATTTCGGGTGGATTTTAATTTCCTCTTATGATCTTCACTTTACGAGTACAGATGGTATGTTCATTAATATTTTGAAAATTTTTGCATCAAAGATATTTTTGTTTATTCGATTTATATTATTTATAATGATTATAGCCGGTAGGCATATTTATTATACTTTAATAGCTAATGACTATTAAATGGATTTTTTTGTCTGCATATATTCTTTAGAAACAATTGCATGTGGTAAACATACTCATCAATTAATTAAGTAAATTTATATTAAAGTGTTTTTATTAATCCTGGTTATATTTTTTACTTAAAAATAATTATAGATGGTAAGTACATTTTGATTAACATTCGTTGAGTAGATTATATCAAACAAGGCTTGACCTAATTTATATATATATATATATTTAGAACGTAAGTATATTTATTAATATTTATTTAATAAATTTATATCAAGATATTTTTATTGATATAAATTCCTTTTTTTTTTAGCGAAAATTGTTGATTGTAAGTATTTCCATTAGGTAAATTTATCCGAGATATATATTACCTTTGCAATAATAGATTGTTAGTATATATATTTTTTAATCCTTAATATAGGGAATTTTATAAGTGTGTTTATCTTATTATTTTCTTTAATACAATTGCAGGCGAAAAGCATATTATGTGTTAAGTAAATTAATATCTCAGGGCTTTAATTTATTCGGTTATATTTATTCATTTCTTTTAGCAAGTAAGCACATTTGTTTTAATTAAATTATATTTATTGTTATAATTGGATTATATTTGTTGTTAAATTAAATTATATTTGTTGCTTATTATTAGCTCTAATACTTTTGAGTAATTGATAAATTCAATCTACTTTAATTACATAGGTTTATGTAACCGATGTGAAGGAAAAACTTCAAATTAACACTGGTGTCTTTCTTGCAATTCTTTTCATTTTAAAAAAGAATTTGACAAATGGACAAGCGGAAATAAAGATGTTGATAAATATATACAAAAAATTCAATTAGAGGCAACAAGTAACCTTAAAGTACTCGAATGGATTCCATTCGAAAAATTCGATAATATCAAAAAAATTGGTGAAGGTGGTTTTGCGAAAGTTTATTCGGCTAATTGGAAGGAAGGACCCATCTTATATTGGAGCAAA